GATGGACAATCAGTAACAGCCGTGCACGCACAAAATGTATATATACCATGCGGTCACCACTATCCCTGCGGCTTTTTGCCCTGGAAAAGGCAACGCCCGGCCATTCGATTTACTCGCACCTTTGGCATATTATGTCCGTAACGTTAAAAAACGAAAAATAATTCAATAACGATAGTTAAAAAAATACTCGGAAATGCCAAAGGCGCCGAATCGTTTCCTGAAAGCGGACAGTTCAAATACTTTGTGTTTGTGTATTCACTTACTCTTTTTTCCTCGCCCGTTTGTTCAAACCAAGAACTAACTATCCACGATAACGGTAATACAAATGATCATAACAAAATATTATTTTCACACGCAACCATAAGCGATAATCACCCGGAAGGGCGTCAAGATGGTTGTAGGGGGGGGGGCTACAGCCATCTTGACGCCACTGTTAAATTAATAACACATGAGGGTACATGAGCATAACACAATGAGAAATTATGTCCGGTAAGAGAGGGTGGAAAAAAAATACCGTCATATTAGAATGTTTTTCTTGACTAAACTCCTCTGTAGTGCACAAACAAGTATTGTCAAGCGGATTGAACGGTTATAAAATGAATAAACGTTTGCCAAGGTACTGCGAACTTTTTAAGATAAATAAAATAAACGTATAATTTAAGTATATCTGAATAGAATGTGCAATGTGCAAATCTATGTTAGACACAATTGTCAGTATACTAACAAGATATAATCGAGTAACTACAAAACGTAGGCGAATATTATGGAAATAGTGGTTTAACCGTACACAAAACATAAAGCGTCAAAATGTTTACCGCATTATCCCGCTAAGTCGGATGAAATCGACTTCAAATAGTATTAATTGTTGCCGTGCACAACGTAGGTATACTCTCGCTACTTGGACGTCTTAGGCACACCTAAATGGTAAACAACCTAAATGCGATTAATGCCCACCTGGTCGTCTGCACGGACGCCGTAACGGTTCAATGGTAATCCTATATGAATTAGTCTGGTCATTCAGCTCGGCATTATTATCCAATAAAACACGAGTGGGCACGGTAAATGCGGTTTTTGTATGGAATGGTGTCGATTCACACGCCTAAATTATTTATAATATGATTGGCTGTTTACAAAATAATGCAAGAAAGACCAAAACTCGTTTCAACCGAATCTGACATTATCTCTCTCTCTCCTCTGTACAATACATGTCTCTAGGCTGTACTACTGTATGCGGTTTTTTTTTTAAGACAAATATTTTTAAAAGTTTGCTAAGGGCGACGAGTAACAATCGTTAAAACTTCCTCACTGCAGAAATAGAACTGATATACATGTCAAACAAGTATTTTTCATATTATTAAAATGTAGTATGTAACTCATAAAACACAAGTATTACTTTAGGAACAATTATATTGTAGATTTTGTTGACAGGGTATTATTTGTATTTAACAAAAGGTAAAAAAAATCACAAATCTTATATCGCGCAACTAATTTGAGAGTTAACAATGATTGTAATGTTTACAAAACAGTACGTTATTACAGAGTAAAAAAATATGCATGTTGTTATCGCGTTAAGTGCCCGTTTAAATGTTTAATAATTTAATGTTACCCTATGGAGCTATTAAATAATACATATTCATACACACAGTTAACCCTATAATTACTCAGCGAAATAAGTTAATAAATGTTATCATGACTACTAAAAAAATCATCGCGTGCATTCTATTAAAACACTATGCAGTTGACTATAACATACATTAAAGCAAAAATCTTTTTAACATAGTACTAAGCGTCAACAGCTAATAAAATGTTAAGCGATTATAAATATTCAATGAATCAATCAGGCGTTAATTTTACACTAACTTAAGCTAAACTGTATTAGATCAATACACGTAAAAATTTTAGAATGCCCGTTTTAATTGTATTTTATTACTGTCATTCTTTGACAAATTCCCTACGGTTATAGTTTATGGAGAAAACTATACCAAAAGCGTAAGTATTCTGTTTATTGGCATTTTAGTAATAAAAAATAATAAACAATTTTTACCCGCGTTGATTTATAATTCAATTATAAGGCCCCGTTAATTTTTATACGCATTATTTCAACATTTTTAATTTTAATTAAACGCCTACATTTTTAAAAAATTATTTATAGTATTTTATTATAGTTATGGTATTAAAATTTATGCTCACTGTGAAGAGTATTATAACAGTCATTACAATAGTCGTTGTGATTTATATTAAACAAATTTTAATACAAATATTCAAGAAACGTGGTCGTGACTGCGACAATAAATGAAAATTGATAATCAAGAACTAAAAAAATGTATTAGATTTCAAAGCCATATTTAAATCTAGTCATTTTATTTCTGCGATTAAACGAGATGAAAATATAGAACACCTTGTGTTTTGTATTCAATCGGGTACTTGGTCGTTGTTAATATTTTGTGCATTACGGTTATTTGTATTCAAATGTGTTTGAACGTATTTAGATAATGCAATTTAACCGATTTCTTATAATATTGATTTTTTTAAAAATATTATTTACACGTATCATACACTATTGTTAAACGATGGCATACATATTTAATAAAATGAAAATTATACATTTTTTGATCAAATAACTATGACGAAATCTTGCAATAATTATGTCGTTTTATCTATACAATAAACAACAAAACAAACAATCTATACAATAACATTTTGCCACTTGTCACAAAATAATTTCCGCGGTGTTACACTTTCCGTTTTTCTTCTGTTTAATTAAAATGTATCCCATTTAAGGTACTACAAACAAATATGATTGGGAAACTGAGCGTATATACTGAGTACTAGATAGGCTATATCGTTTACTGTGGGATCTCCATTAATAAATAAGTTATACTCCAAACACGAAATTGTCCATTTCATAAAATTATGATTATTTTGAACAGTTCGTAAATCGAGCCAAATGTATTTAATGTGTTTGAAAATGTTGCGATATTCATGGAAAAGTCAATTAATATAAAATATTATTATTTTTAAACAAAGTAACGAAGACTAATTATAGGTGGACGAGTTGACCTAGATGACTGACCCACAGTTTTTTTCATAGTTGCTGCGTTTTTGTTTTGTATTTTACCACAATGCACAAACAGATATAATATTGAAGTTGCTCCCTCGTATAAATTATAGAACGTAACCCCAACTGACTTTTTTTGTGGTTCGCATTACTACTAATCAGTAATTAATTCAAAAAAAAAGTATCTAAAATAAAATAATTGTAAGTTGTGTATTATTAATTATGATTGAAACGTGATCCGCGAAAATACGAATTTGTATATAAATCAATAATTAAAGAAAAGCAGAGGAAGGTCCAAAACAAGTATGACTACAAAAGTATTTAACAATAAACAAGAATCGCTGATGGATGTGATGAAAAAAAAAATACCTAAAAGCCACAATGGGTAAAAAAATTAACATTCTAACATGTTTAAAATTATACTTTATCATGTGTAACAAATAACCTAATAATTTAAACTAACAATTGGTGAGGTTAGGTTTGGTAAACATTTTACTACGTTAAAGAAGGTAATGTCTTACAATGTATAAAGTTAAAAATGACCTACAACGAATTCTTTTTTTTTTTTAAGTTTTTACATTTTTGCTTAGAACAAAATGTAATACGTTATCCGGACCACAATATCATAGTGAAAAAGATGTCTAGAGCCTACGGTTTGCTGAATTTCAAAATATCCCTTTAAACTTCTATAATACTAAACCCTAAGTAGGTATCTAATATAGTTTATAAGGGTTTCCTTTTCTTCTTTGGTTCAGTTTCTGAGTCAAGTTATATATGTTAACTAATAATCAGTTCCACTACTCGTAATATTATATTATTTTGAATTATGAATGCTTCTTTTTGATATATCAACTAATTTTACTGTTTCTATAATGACTATAGATATTCTATTTATGTTACACATAATGATAAGTACTTAGATATATTGTATTTTAAGTAAAATACACTATACAGTCTGAACATTAGCACATGATCCAAATAAAACTATAAAGTAATAAATTTATCCTACTTAAAATTCCAGTGACATCTTTAAGTGCACACCTGGCGTTGCAGATACCTACTACAAACTCTCATGTTAAACTCTCCGCCATCTTAATTAGGCTTATTTCTGTTAACTAGTGGGAGAAAACTCTTGACTCTACTTTTGAGCATTCTGTCTGTTTAAGTATTATAATTTTTGTTTAGATTAACTATTAACTGTTTCAGTTACTGGCAGCACTTTGCATATCATACACAACAAACAACACTGGAATTTTGTACACAGTTAAAAATTGAAACAATTTTATAATTTAAAACATTTATAGATATGATACTAATTATAATCGCAGCTCATTAACTATAACCTCAAACCGGCTGTAGACAGGTAAATGCATTGTTTTTTTTAAATTTATTTATTTAAAGAATATAAAAGTAAGTAGTAAAAAGTTAAATTTAATATCTTATCGTTTCCCTTTCTCTTTTTTTAGGAATATTAGTGATATATTATAGCCTTATAACTAAATTGTTCGCTACTGATAGTCGACTAGTAAACGTAATTTTTAAGAAGTAAAATTAACGTTTTACATAAATATTTTGGTACGTATAATTCACAGACGTACACCGACAGTCTCGCCGTAGACACCTATACCGGTTTATTGCAGCTTGTAAAAATGCAAGTGCAAGAAACTTCTAGGAAGTGGGAAACTTCATATGCCACGTTGTAAATCCCAGATATTTTCTTTACATTTTAAAAAAATTATATTGTTATAACTTGAATACTATAAGAATTCAACGATATTTAAATTGGCCACTACTTAAATTACTCTATCCAATTATTAATAATGTTATTAAACGTTTTTTTTTTGTTATATCTAATTGACCGTTACTTTTTACAATTTAAAATTTTCAAATTTCAAAACCGACGGACTTAGATAAATCAACGTTTGGCTTGAAGTGTACTTACAAAATAAATGGTGTTGGACCGACGAGCTCATTTCAGATAACAGTGATCCGGCACCGGAAGTCCGGTACGAAGTGATGATTGACGGGCTTTGGCTGTTCACGGACATTATGCGTGGCAAGAGGGCGGCGGACGACTGAAACCCCGTAGACGCGTATCGTCGAGACAATGATAATGCGTTTCGCTACCCCTCGGGGCGCAAGCGTCTCTGATACCTCCTCTTGACAACCCCTCGGTCATTCCTTGCGCCTTGCACCCCATTAGCGGCATATTATATATTGTGGTGACGATGAGATGATGAGATAGATACAATCAGAGCAAAATTATCTACGACTATTAAAAGTACTTGATGATTGTATTATATTGCATTAAAAACGAAATCTGGATTTCAAAGTTAAAAATAAATTGAGTTCTTTTAATTAAATATTTTTAACTTTAATTTAATTTCGTTTTAAACCGAAATTTTAAGTCTATCAAATTTTTGAAATGTCAACACAAAATCTGTTGTGAGAGTTGATGAAAAAACCAAACAGGAAAAAAACCTATTATAAAAATTTCTATTTTTGTCAAAGCTGTAGGCATATTATTAGAACATTTTTACTGAAAAAAATCGGAAATTTATAAAATATACTATTATGTTAGAAAAAATAACCATATTACTTTATTTAAGTAAGTTAAGTTATATTTAAAAAAATAAATGTATACCTCCTGTTGTTCAATTTTCAATTTTAATTAACACTTTTATTTAAGTTCATCCAAACATACACCAATTTGCAACATCGTTAACGAAGCAATAATGCTAAAATACCCACAAATATATTATTTTTTTAGAAAATATGTTATTATTTTTCTGTGTAAAAATATTCTCAACATTTACTTGTCTTTTACCTTGTAAACTAAGATATGGAAAATAATATAGTAGATACATCTCATACCGACGTAAATAGAGATTTGCGCATTATGTCCTATATTGGGATCAACTAACTATTTCAACTATGATTATTATATTTTAAAATAGAGCCTGGACGGCGGGGAAGCGATTTAAACAAGCGTTAGGCGACGGCCAGGAAATTAAATATTTTCCTCTCTCTCTGAATATACCCTTCGCAATGAACTACTCCGGGAATCCGACAAGTACACAAAAGACTGGTCCGCCGGTACAATATTTGTCCACATTTAAGGCAAAACGAAACGTACAGTCTGCCGCCTCGTCTTATTAAAATAATTGCGTTATTTCAGAATAATCGTATTAAAACATTTCATTGCGTTCTAGATGAAGTGAAAAACACAAAGTGACCCTATTTTTCAAACACAACTTCCTTGTCGTCGTTTTTGTGATCACGGAAAAGCACTAGTTTATTTTTCATTATAATACCCTTATAAATACAAAAATAAACGGGAATGTGTTTGACTTGCGCTATTATAATTATTGTGTCTCTAGATTTCATATTGTGATTGTTAAAGAAATACATTTAGTCCATTCGTCGTCGTTTATTTTTATCTTAGCGTTTTTAACTTGGCACATGAGTTTTAAAAAATAATATTTTTGCAGAAAAATTAAAAACAAACTACTTGTAATTGAAGTTTAAAAAAATATATACTAAAACCGGAAAAAATCATTGAAACGATAGTTTTAAGGAAAACTTGGCTATAGTTGTAACTACAAAAAAATACCGAAAATATAAAAAACGAGGAAAAAAACCTCTTTAAAAGTTTCTTTACAGTGAATAAACTTCCGTTCTTATATCCTTGATGAACTTTAAATGAAAGTTAAACGTGATTCAACAATACATTTTTTTTAATTTTCTAAAAAACTGATTTATATTTTATTTTAGAAAGAATCTTATGCTTTCATAAATTGTCTAAATTCTAATACTCGTATTTTCTTTTTGTCAAAGTTAGAGAAAAAACTTTTTTTCTGGGAAATTTCTAATTTTGTTATGAACGTTTTCGGAATTATGATCCTTACATCTTTTAAGCTAGGATTATAATGTGGGAGTTCGTTTAACTTTAATATTCGATTACAACTTAATAATTCAAACATTTAATCGAATTACCAATAGTAACTATTATTTACATTTTACTGTTTTAGAAACTTCTTCGATAGAGCTTTTCTTTTTTTATCGTTGCCAAATTTACTCGCAATTGGTGGCTTTCACCTGAAAATCTGAATTTTTTTTATACCCTAATAATCCCTGTTATAATTAAAGACCTGCAGCTGAAGGCTATAAAAACTGTGTTTTCCATTTCAATTATTATTTCTCATTTAAAAAGGATTAGTTATTTATAATTAATCCTTCAGGAAAGGCGATATATTATGCGTTATTATGTATTTACTAGCCAGATTATGGTATAATCCAAAATCAGCAATTGCATTCTTATTTTTTAAATAATTTCTTTTAATTAAAATGTAACCAAACTTTATACAACTAAATTTACAGAACTTTGCAAAACAATCAAATTTATCGCTTTAAAAGTCTTAACAAGTTCAGATTAACTATATGAAAATATTGACTTGCATATAACAAAATAATACTTTAACGTTGTATCCTTTTTTAATAGTTATAGTTTATGAACCTAGTTATAAAAAACTACTAACTTTAGCATAGAATAAATCCCAAGATAGACTTCAAACTTAACTACAAACAAACAATACTAATTTACATGATCATGTATAATATAAAACTATGTTAAAGTAGAGAGCAATGATTTTTACATTTACAATTTCGCAAATAGTTTAGTAGATTTGTAAACTTAAGCAAACTTTAGCTATTATGATAGTTTCTGCTTATAACTATGACGTTGGCTATTAATAATCGATCTTCTAAATACAAACATGAATATGTATGGTAGTAGGAACCAAAAGTATAATTTTTTTTCTAATGTAATACCTTAGATGAAAAATAATTTTGACTTATAATTATTAAAATATGAAATATTTTTCATGAGCTAAGTTCAATGCTTTGCGTTCAACTATTAAGACTGGCAGGACTGCAGTCAAAAATAAAAACCAAATTAGTACGAAATGTAGAGATTTCACTTTTTGCAGATAAAGTGACCGAGACCTACATATTATATGGTTTCGGAATGCTTTATAGCAAAAACGTCAAGTATACGATGGTTGTTATACAATTGAAAAGGGGAATTAAAAAAGGCTGTAGTGCCAATCGACGAGGAATTTCTGCCTTATTGCGTTACATTGGCGTTGGAACATCCTTTTTGGCTAAAAAAATAATTTTGGGGAAAAATGGCACTTAAAGCCTTCTTTGATTCCTCATTCCACTCTTCAATTATAGATTAAACAAATTATATGAAATTTACTTATTATGCTTTAAGTATAAATGTTAATATAAATGAGAAAAAAATTATGATTCTAAATATTTGACCAAATTTTCCTTTTTTATAACATTATACCTACTATTAAGACCTGATTTGGGAATTATATCAAATTATCTTAATACAATATTTATTCAGTTGGCTGTTGATACATACATGTATAATGTATACATTAACCTTAAAAAGCATATTATATAATAACGATTTTATGTTTGCCTTGTATTGTTGACTTATTATGCTTTACATACATGCTCTAGCCTTTAAGTTGTATAATAAAAGTATTGGAAATCACCCACGGCGGCGTTTTTTCAGTAATCCGTAGTTAGCTATTTCCGATCTAATATAGTCACTCGTTATTCTTATAATACTATGAACCGAATACCAACGTATGATAATATCACAAATACCTTAAATTTCTAAGTCCACATTTATCCACAAGTGTTATTTTTACAGTACAGCTCTTATTTCATTAGGAAAGCTATGGACTTAGTAACATCATCTGTACAACAATATTTGCTTTGACGTATATTTAACAAAACATAAGGTTTGTCTGACTTAGGCTCATTTAGCTCTACAAAAACATAGTTTACCTCTCAAGACTGTTCCGGAAATTAACATTAATACATGTTTTACTATAGTTGACATTGCGGTAACAATACAAACCTTTTGAACTGTGGATTATCTATCATCATAAAACTAAATAGAAATCTACTGAATCCTGTTAGATATTTAATAATTCGTGTCTATTATATACAAAAAATGATGACTTAAGTCAAAACTGTCATTATATGATTAACACGTCATTTGAAAAACATTATTTACCAAAATTGTAGAAATCTTCATTAAACTAATTAATATATTATTTGGTTTAAGTCTTGTCATCTACAAATTTCTGTTGTTATTTCTGATCAATGATGGTTAAGTACGCTTTAATTTGTAATTCTATTCTCGACGGGAAAGTGGTGATAGTGTGTGTGTATGTGAACAGCTAATATTAAAAATTTTTAAAGAATCAAATATCAATGTATTAAAAAGCCGTATGAGTTTCGACATGGAGTTGGATTACACGGTTCTAGAATTATAAATGCGTGTAACGCAAGATGATCGGTAGTGAGTGCAAGTGAAATTACTATAGCCGTCTTAGATGGATATTTTATTTGCCAATTCGGGATAAAACTAGTAAAGCTATTAAGAACGACATGTACCTTAAGAATCCGAAATAATAGGTATATTATCATATTGTACCGTGCATTGCAGTGTACGCGCGATTTCTGTGAGTTTTGCTCTCAAGTACCGACTTAAATAGCAATAAATCGACTAAAACAAATATGGACGCCTACCTTGGTTCTGAATATTTTGGAAATGGCAGATTGCGATGAGTGCTGTAGAAAAAATCAGGATTAAATTGTTTTTTTAACAAACCGTTGTATTTTATGTTGACTTTGATGTGATTCATCGTAGAATAACCACATTTGATATTGTTATTGGTGGGTTTTCGAGTGCTTATTAGCATAAATATGAGTCAGAGTGAGCGGTCTGTCAACGAATGAAAAATGATTATCGTTCAAAAAGTAATATTTAATTTAAGGGGAAAAAATACATTTAAATTTAATTGAAATCCGAGTATAGTCCGAAGTCAACAAACTAACGACCCAGCGTTACTCCTTTTCGAAACTAAGTATTTAAAACGCGTTAATCACAAAGGAAACTCGAAAACAAGAAAAAAAAACCACTGCTAAATCATTGGCACATAATATCTTTGGTATTGTTTTTTAAAATTTTTAAGAA